TCCACTGCGCACGTCTCCACGTACCTAACACAGGGTCGGGGTCTAAATCATTAGCACCAAGTTGTTCTGGTCACAGAATATATAAAGTTTTGGTTTCAAGTCATGTGTCATGACACGAGTGGCAGGTTTTTTATGCGATCACGCATACAATGTAACTAATACTCACATGATGTACATAGTTGTTCCGGTCGGGAACTTAGCCGTTTTTTTTTTCTCTAGCGAAAAAATTTATCGGGTCACATGATGTACATAGTATTCACACTATCCTAGCTATCAGCATCCTCGTTCACCTAAATGACTTGTAACAGAAATGGAAACCAAAAGTGAGCTGGGTAGTGTTAACGTGTAGGCCCACCATTTGGCCCAACCTGGAGCCTACCAGCCAGTTCGTTTGGCTGTGGCTTGTCGTAAACGATCGTAAATTTCCAGCCAGAACAGTATTTTTCTCTCACACAAACCAGGCAGCAGTACTTCTTCACGAACCAGCAACGATACGAACCAGCCAACCGAACAGGCTGTATTTTTATAGATAGAGGCCAACAGGTACACACATACGACGCGCGTTTATTTTCTAAAAAAACAAATCATTCTTTTCTAAAAAAATGCATGTTTATTTTTGCATAGTGATGAGTTCATGTCAGATTGGTGGCATGTTTGTTTTGCACGATCAGAGGAGATGCGAATATTCCCATCGTAGCATGTATGTCGTCATGTGCATACCACTGCCAGTTGTTCGATGCGTGTGTACAGGAATATTTGTCCACTTGTAGATTTTATATCCTAGATTCCTAGTGATATATAAGGGCAGCTCCAACAATTAGCTTTTTAAGGAGGTGTTTTAATCCAGGGCTAAAATTTAGCTCATCTCTTTTTAGTCACATTTTAGCTCTCATGGATCCAAATAAGAGGGCTAAAAGTAGGGGTTAAATTTTAGCCTACCCTTTTTTATTAGCCCATTTAAACATTTTTCTCATATTTTAATAAAAGAGAGGGAAAAGCTAGCTCTTAATCAAGAGCTAACCTCTTGGACATATTTCAAGGTTATGTGTGAATGTCATGTGAGGCCATTTATGTTAAAAACTATGTGCTAAAGTCAGCACTATTATAGAAATTGGCTTAGAGCTAGTAACTAGCTCTAACTATTGCGGATGCCCTAAGCATAATAGCTGCACCTTTAGGTTCCAGTTGGTCTTTTCAATACCTTGTGCTGCTTTCCAAGAAGACCCTGCACCATACAAGTCTCCACCTAACCAAAAAGGGCTCAATGATTTGTTTTCGCTTCCGTTCCTGAATGCCTGTCGTATTCGCTTCCTGAGAAACAACTTTGACTAAATATATATAAAAAATATTAATATTTATGATACATAATTAATATTATTTGATAGATATTTGAATCTAGGTTTTTAATAAATTTATTTATAGATATAAATGTTGCACGTATTTTCAAATCGAGTCAAACTTTCCACATGGAAACCAACGGCCACAGTTAACTGGGGACAGAGTTAGAGGCAGTATGTAGTACCGAGGTCATTGGTTACGTATGTTCCCAGCAAGTCTTGTTCATGGTGCACGACAAGAGTCACTGATGCTAGCTAGCTGCTCTCTGATGAACTATATGACGACACGTTGGTTTTGTTTTGAAAACACGCATGTTTTTGTCTCACAAAGTAGTGGCGAGGCCACTGGGTTTTGCATTGCGCCTATTGTTTATATATCAGCGGACATCAACGCTAAGCCTAGTTATTTCTATAACTTCAATTAACTCTATATCTCTCTCGATCTATGTATCCGGTAACAATAAAATAGCAACAACTATACGTCAAGTTGAACTTTTGTAAAACACAGTGTTGCTTTCCTCGATGGCCGGCCAGCACTGCGCACATCTCCATCTACCTAACCAAGGGTCGGGGGTTTACTCATTTGTTATTTTCTAGCACATAGTTTATGGCTCACATAATGTACGAATTATTGGTCCCAAGACATGTCATGACGGGCGTGCTAGCTATAAGAATGGAACAGATCCAACCAACTTCAGGTCCAGTTGCTCTTTATAAATAAAAACTGGACCTGCGGGGGGAAACCACCCCCAGGCATTGCATTAAGAAGAAGAACCTTCTCATGCAGGTCCAGAAAACTCTCGAACCTCTGCCCCACCCATACACAGCGGCAGCGTACCCCTGTGAGAACAGGGTCATTCCTTAGACCTGTGCTTTAGCGTGGGGCAGACGAGGAGATTTTTTTAACCCCAGCCTGAAATTCGCTCCCACGGAGAATCGAACCCAGAACCCGAAGAGTGCCGCTGGGACGCTCTAACCAGTTGGACTAGAGACCTTTGGCTTGCTCTTTATAAATGACTTGGTACTTTCTCCCACAACTGGAACCACCGTGACTTAACGGGATTTTGTGAAATTATTTCATTCCTCGTATTAGTCTAATTATTTGCTTATAAAAAATAAGGTGATGATACATCAACTAACTTCATTCTGCGGACCAAACACTACTGCAGAACAGCTGATCACTGCCAGGTTCAAAACCTCGTCACTGTCGGAATTTTTATATTACCTTATTTCTCAAACCAAAAAATGATAAGTTGCACAATGATAGATTACCTTATTTCTCAAACCAAACACAACAATTTCTCTTTTTTAAAAAACATTTACGCTCACTGCTATAAAAAGAATTTATAGCAACACCCTCTTTTTTTTAGGGGCGGCTCTATATTGCGCCGCCCCTACAAATGCCTCTCAAATGAGCCGCTTCTATAAATTCATTTGTAGGGACTGCTGGTGTTATGAGTCGCCCCTACAAATAGCCTAATTTATAGGTGCGAATAGACGCTGAATAATAAAAATGAAACACTAAAATTCGTAATTTTTCAAATGACATCGGATGGAGAAATGACCAAAATAAAAGTTGTAGATCTCAAAAAGTTATGAAATTTTGTTGTTTACAACTTTTTTCTTTGAAATTATTTAGTACTTCGAAATGTTGTTTGATATTCATATTTGAAATTATTGAAGAACTCTGATTTCTCTTTTTAATCTCTGACTAAAACTTGTAAGTAGTCTTTCTCCCGCATACTAACTTCAAATTTGATGATTTGTTTTTCTAAAATCATGCTATATCAATTTGTTGTGTTTTAACAGCTATTATTTTGTCCATCTTTTCATATCACTGTATTTTATCTATTTGAATTTTGAATTTCTAAAAATGACAAATTCAAACGTCATTTTGAAACATTAAATGATTCTAGCTAAAAAATTCATGAACATAAAAGTTGTAGAACTCATCAAGATCTACAACTTTTATTTTAGTCATTTTTTCATCCGATAAAGTTGTAGTAACATCATTCATAAAATTTACGTATCTCTCTTATAGTTTCATAAATATAAGAGTGATATGTAAAATTTGTGAACAGTGTTACTACCACTATGTCGGATAAATAAATGACCATATGACCTAAATAAAATTTGTAGATCTCAGAAAGTTATAAAACTCTATAGTTGACAACTTTTTAAACTGAATGGATCTTGTCAAGAAAAACTATGTTTGAATTTTTTCAATTTTGAAATTCAAAATTTTCAAACGACCTCGGATGGAGAAACAACCAAAATAAAAGTTGTAGATCTCGCAAAGTTATGAAACTTTGTAGTTGACAACTTTTTTGATTTGAAATCATCTTGTGAAGGAAAGCTACGTTTGAATTTCTAAAAATTTAAAATTTGACTTTTTTAAACGACTTCGGATGGACAATCAGCAAAAACGAAAGTTGTAGATCTCAAAAAGTTATAAAACTTTGTAGTTGAAAACGTTTCGATTTGAAATCATCTTGTCAAGGGAAACTACGTTTGAATTTCTCAAATTTGAAATACAAATTTTGTAAACGATCTCGGATGGAGAAACTACCAAAATAAAAGTTGTAGATATCAAAAAGTTATACAACTTTATAGTTTACAACTTTTTCATTTGAATTCATTTAACGCCTTAAACAATTAATTTAAACTCGGTTTAGGATAATATGTGGAGAACCAATATCCAATATAGACACAAGTGAGTTTTAGGTGCAGTGGTAGAGGTGGGTACACGCGAGTTGCAGGTTCGAACCCCGACGTCCACTTGTAGGTGCTCCCCGGATTAAAAAAGATTTTTTTGCTTTTTTTTGACCTGAATTCGTGAATTTTTATAAATAGCCGCCCCTACAAATTTGTAGCAATGGGATGGTAAGGTGGTTTGCCGACCACCTCTACAAATCCCGTTGAACCGCCCCTACAAATCCCTACAAATCCCTTTACAACGTAGTGGCTACTCTCCACGAACATGCTTGCTTACCCAAGTCTACGAAAGCCTCTTTTTTCGAAAGACTCGAGCATAGCTAAATGACACATCATTCCTACTCAATCTAACATTGCTCCCGTGTCATCATAACAAGCTATATATATTTCTCTTCGTTCACAGCAAAATTGTGAACCTGCCTAACAGACTATACCATTATATTACTCTCGTCGAGCTGGATCATCTCGTTTGGAGTCCGGATGAAGAAAATATACTTCTTTAGGAGACTGATGTAGCAAAATAGGTCTGGCCAAATTTCAGAATTAGATAGGCTGGATATGTGGGTTAAACCGGCCAAGCAGGTTTCAAAATCCGGCCAGGGAGGATTTTCTGCACTAGGCCACCTGGGCATGCCTAGCCTTCGCAAAAACCAGTCAGACCTATTTTTCTGTAGATTCTCAGATTGAGTTGAATCTAACTCAATGGAAAATTGTGCAATCCCACGGAAAACTTTAAGATTACGCTTGGTAGATGTTGTGGTCTGGAATTTTTTATAGGTTCCAGACTGATTAATATATAGTACTCCCTCTATTCCATGTTACTACATGTTTTGACTTTACATTTAGATTTGCATAATGTCCGGATATATAGTGAAAAATATTATATTAAATAAAAAGCCAAAAATGTCGGAAGTAGTGCGTTGCATGCTCTACATGCATGCAATACCCTTATGAGCCCCCAACCAATTCATTAGCCTTCTCCTTGAGAAGCTCCCACACGTCCCGGACATGGCGCATCTCGGTCATGGCCCCACCAACGGCGAGCCGGATGACGAACTTGCCGTCCATGACGAAGTGCGTCATGAACGCCCGCCCGCTCGCATTCACAGCAGCAAGGAGCTGGCGGTTCAGACCATCCACCTCGTCATCATCGATCCCGAGCCGCGGGCGGAGACGGAAGCACACCAGCGAGAAGTTCCTCGGCACCACGACTTCGAAGCGCTCGTCCGCCACCACTGCGAGCTCGAACCACTCGGCCATCCGAACATGCCTCCGGATGTAGTTGCGCATGCCCGCCGCTCCATAGCGCCGCAGCACCACCCAGAGCTTGATGGCACGGAAGCGTCGTGACAGTGCGATCTGCCAGTCCTTGTAGTCGATGGGTGACACATCACCGCCGCTGCCGACGTTCTTGAGGTACTCCGGGTCAGTGGACAGTGCGCTGGTGAGGGCGGTCGGGTCTGCCACCCAGAGGCAGCAGCAGTCCATGTTGGTGAGGAACCACTTGTGTGGGTTCATGCTCACCGAGTCCGCGAGCTCGGCGCCATCGAGGTGACACCTGAACTCTGGGCAAATCGCCGCGCTGCCGGCGTACGCGGCGTCGATGTGCAGCCACATTCCTGTTATTTGTTGGAAATATATATAGTTATAAGAATCATGACTCTTGTCAGGTGACAGTTACTGAGTATCTATGAAATCGTTTCAACACTGGAGCTGTGGTCCATTTTAGTGCATACTCCATCTGTCCCTATAAAAAAGAGTCATTCTCGTTAACTTTGACGAAATATATTTAACAAAATATTAATATTTATGATATATAATTAGTGTCATTAGGTAGATTGTTAAATATACTTTTATAATAATTTTATTTAGAAATATAAATGTTGTCCGTAGTTTTTATAATCATTGTTAAAGTTGAGAAAGTTTAACCAATACGATTCTGGAGACGACTCTTTTTTATGGACGGAGTGAGTACGTGCATCAGTACGACCAGTGCACGCCTTACATGCATGAGTGGACCTACCATAACAGCGCGCCACCTGACCGAGCTCGCGGACTGGGTCAATGGCGCCGAGACCAGTCGTGCCGACGGTAGCGCACAGGTACAGAGGAACCAGTCCACGGGCGACGTCCTCCTCGACCGCTGCTCGGACAGTGTCCGCACTCAGGCCGTACCCGGACTCCGCCGTCGTGTGCAGGACACGGAAGTTCGCCGGAGGGATGCCGACGATCCTGGCACCCTTCTGGAAGGTGGCGTGGGTCTGGTCGGAGGAGTATACGACCATCCTAAGGATGGCAGCATGGCCGAGCCTGCTGATCGCACGGTCGCGCGCAGCGGCAAGGGTGCACACCACGGCCTCGCACGTGCTCCCGTGCAGCACGCCGCCGCCGCCTCCCGCGAAGCAGAATAGCTCCGGCAGTCCGAGGAGCCCGGCCATCCAATCCACCACGACCTGCTCCAGCTCGGTGGCCACGGGCGACGCCTTCCACATGAATGGCACGACGTTGAGGCCGGTCGACAGCATCTCGCCGGCGAACCCCGCGCCGCTCGCGTTCGCTTGGAAGTAGGCGAAGAAGCTGGGGCTCTGCCAGTGCGTCAGCCCCGGGAGGACGTCCCGCTGCACGTCGTCAAGGATTCTGTCCATGGACTCGCCCGTCTCGGGCGCCGCGTCGGGGAAAACCTTGCGGATGGACCCTGGCTTGGCGTCGAGGGCCATGACCGGGTACCGCTCGATGTCGCGGTAGTAGCGGGCGAGGAAGTCGACCACGGCGGTCGATTCCTCGGCGAATGTATCCGGGTTTAGGGAGAAAAGGGCGTCGTCCAGTGGAAGGCTACCCATGGCCAAGTACACGAAATGAAAAGGAAACTAGCGGTTCACAGAAGCACCGGGTGACTAATGCTGTGATTTGCTTTGGAAGCTTGGCTTCATTTTTGTTCATATATAAAGACCCCAGCATTATTAAGCCACGTAGAACACGAAGGAGCAAGTAGGCCACGAAGACGACAGCACTAATGGTAGCAAACTACTCAGTCCAACAGCTAGCACTATAAAAGTCAAAGATCCGATTTCCCAGAATTCGTTGAGATCAGGATGCTCTACCAGATGGATGCATGACCACATTCTCCATGTGTCTGACACACTGAGCGTGTGTTTAGTTTTTGAAGGACGTGGAATGAGTTGAACCTATTCTAATTGGGTTGGGTGATTTTTTTTTTTTAACATTTTTTTAAAACTATTTTTAATTCTAATACTATTTTTTTTCTTTAAATTTAACATTTTGGCCGCGTCTATCGCCACGGCGCGGGCAAATGACGCTGCCGCGCCGGCCACTTCCACGGGCCAAATAAGAAATTTTCTCATTCATTTATGGTTTCATAAGGTTGGTTGGCCTGATCACTCATTGCTCCTTGAACGTCAGTGATGATGGCACGTCCGATCACTCACTTCACTTCATCGCCGCCCTGCGGCCACTGCCCGGCCCTCCTGCTCCTCCTCCAGGCTCCAGTTCTCCGCTGATCGATCACCGTCATGCGAGCTGGGCATGTGCGTGCACAGGGGCGCACACACGTGAGTGGCATGGCTTTCGCGCGCGCATTTGCCCTCTCAACAACCACCGCCACCATTACAGCCTCCACCAACACCGGCACCCCCCGTGTACCACGCTAATAGCACGTTTTATTGATGGGTTTCTGAGCTAATTTGAACTGGCTGATGTTGGTTTGTTGTGAGAGAAAAATACTGTTGGCTGGCTGATAAGCCCTAACTGAAACCAATAAGCGAATATGCTGTAACTCTCCTGCTCCCATCTGCAGGCAACCATGTCCGTGTGTGTATATATACTGTAGCAGTGGAGCAGCCAAGGACGCGATTGGATTAATTGGAGGGCACAGGAAGAATCAGGCTACTGACGCCCTATTCATTTACAACAAATCAATCAATAGTATTTTTAGTCATGGCTTATCAGTCCAGCCAACGGAGCAATGGGCGTGGGTGGCTTGCAGTACGTGCTGGCCGGCCATGGAGGAGTGTGGCAGAACGACGGTTGGCCTAGAGTGTCTCCGACAACAAACTTTACATACAATACTAATGGTAATTCTTAATTGTAATTTTATTAATCATCTTCTGAAACTAATGGTAAGTAAAAGTAAAAAAAAAACAAAAAATATTGGTTAGCCTGATCGGCTGCAGTCATTAGGCTGTAGCCAGCCGCAGACATGAGACCAGGGTACCGTTTAGTTGGCAAAATTTTTTGGCGAAATACCACTGTAGCACTTTCGTGGTTATTTGGCAATTAGTGTCTAATCATAGTCTAATTAAGCTTAAAAGATTCGTCTCGTTAATTTCGTCTAAACTACGTAATTAGTTTTATTTTTTATTTATATTTAATGCTTTATGCATGTGTCTAAAGATTCGATGTGACGGAGAATCTTGAAAAATTTGGCAAAATAAAGTGTAACTAAACAGGGCCCAGACCACAGCACCACGTTTCCCTCGTGAGAACACAGTCATCAGGCAACAGCCAAACGAAGTACTAGTGTACTACCCTGCTGTAGCCATGCAGTGCTAAACAGTTTAGATTCAGCTGCAGCTGTACCACCATGTGTCCATGACTGCAGGCGATCAGGGCCACTAATGGTGGTACTCTCTAACCAGCCAAACAAAGCTCTTAAAATTAACAACGGTAGTCATTGTCGATTTTACTGCTCGGCAGCCTCAAATCTACACGCCATTTGCACGCTTTTTTTTTGCACGGTCGTCAACGCGCCATGATCGTCTGCTCCTGATACAGAGGCGCAGATACTCGAGTGACTGTTACCAGATTTTCACCGCAACAGAGTAGTGACAGTTGGTAGATACTACGTACACCGTAGAATTAAAATATTAGCTGATTCTAGTTCTGGTTCTGAACGGATGGTCTAGGCCTTGTAAAGTTTTAGGGTGTCACCTCGAGTGTTACGTGGAGGTGTCGCATAGGGTATTTGGTTACTAATAAAAGAATAAATTACAGAATCCGTCAGTAATCCGCGAGATAAATTTATTAAGACTAATTAACTCATCATTAGCACATCTGTTACTATAGCATCACATTGTCAAATCATGAAGTAATTAGGCTTAAAAGATTTGTCTCGCAAATTAGTCGTAAACTGTGCAATTAGTTTTTTTAGTTACAATATATATGACAAATGACATGAGGATGGCCGGTCCACATATCCGTGACTGTGTAACAATCGCTCAAAAAAAAAAGTTCAGCACTCGAATCAAAACTCTTTCGTTATTTTAGAAGACACAAAATCGTTCTGTCCAGCTACAGTAGTATGCTGACGACGTACAAAGATCTTCTTAGTGAAATACGTGCAGCACATGTTCTCGAAACACAGAAGAACGTACAAAGATGACACCACGCAGATTCTGGCTCGTGATCCATGAGAAATAATTAAGTGGACAACTATTACAACACGCTGTTACAAAATCTATTTAGCATAGGCGATCCGATCGTACTCATCATTTATAAAAGCAGTAGGCCCAGCCATTTATAGAGGCAAATGGTATTTATTAATGAGCCATTTGGACAAATAGTGTTCAGTGTTGCCCCGTCAAATCCATCTATAGAGGACCCCTTTTCAAAGCCAAGCCGACCTAAACCAGCCACATATCATCGACAGCCTGTTTGTTTCGTTGTAAACGACCGTGGATTATTTATTGCTGTCTGGTTTGGTGTAAGAGAAAAACAATGTTCTAGCTTATAATGCATTTCCAGATGTGCTGCTTGGCATTGGGTCTGTGACGTCTATATGGAAAACTGCACGGTGGGCCCAAGTTAGCCTGCCTCTATTAAGTTTTTCGGCGACACTAGCGCCCAGATGTCCAGACATGGCGTCTATTCGGACGCAGCTCCCGCGCCCCTGCACGACACATCTCCTTTGCCCGCGCCCATCCCGCTCCGGATGCGTGTCTGTCCGGACGGAGCTCCCGCGGCCGCGCCTGATGCAGCTCCCCCGCCCACGCCCATCCCGCCTGATCCGCCACATCCGCGAGCATCCCACTCCACATCCTGCCCGATCCGCCACAGCATCCCATCCATGCCACTCCCATGTCCACAGCCTCCATTTTCACCACACCAGGGAGGCGCAGTAGCCGGCCTTCTCCATGTCACTGCTCGGGAAGCAGCACGACCACCGAGAGCTTGGGCTTCCTCCACACCTACATTCAGATCTACTTTTGCAACACTCAGATAAAGCAATTGCAACATACGTCTGAAATAGATGAAACATTTAAAAAACATACAATTGCAACATAACCATTGCAACATATGCAACATCCAAATAAAACACTTGCAACATACGTCTGAAACGGATGAAACATTTTGAACAAATACTCGCAACATACGTGTATAGCCATTGCAACATGTGCAACATCTGGATCTACCTTTGCAGCTTCCATATGAAACACTTCCAACATACCTCTTATACATCTGAAACACCTGTAACATACGTTTGCAACACGCGTTTTCAACGCAACATGGCATGGGCAACGAAGCGAACTAACACGGTGGATGTAGCCGCGGTCGGCGGATGGAGGCACCCTGGCACGGTGGTGTCGGCCGCAGCAGGCGGAGTGAGTCCACGCGGCGCGGTGGAAGCAGCGAATCCGAGCGGGCGGGGGTGGGGCGTGGGCAGATGGAGACGGCCGTGGCGGTCAGGGCACGCGGCGTGGGCGAGGGCACACGGCGTGGGCGGGAGCGAGCGGCCCGGGTGGAGTGAGGCATCCAGATGGATGGATGGCCTAATTGTATCATTATCGCTTTTGGGTTGTATCCTAAAAGCTTTTATTTAAGTAGTGATAGAATGAAAAGTATCATTTCTAGCTTTAATTTGTATGCTACGTTGCTACTCGTCTATTGTAACACAAGATCTAATTGCAGGTGACAAGCCCAAACATGATGGAATGGTTTGAAAGGCTAGGGGTGGAGATGGACACATCAGACATGTCGTTCTCAGCAAGCATGCGGTTAAAGAAAGGTAGAGGCTTTTAGTGGGGTAGCCGCAATGGTATGTCTAGGTATATTGGTGCAGAAGAGCAATTTGCTTAGCCCCAGATTCTGGCTCGTGATCCATGAGATATTCAAGTTCAAGAATCATGCCCTCAAGTGAGTTCACAATGGATCCAATGATGAGAGTTTGTGCATTATGCCGTACGTCGTATGCAGTCCCTCTGAACAATTCATAATTTTTATCCTCTGTTTTGATTTGAAGGTACCTGGAGGACCATTAAAGAAGCTCTGAGCAGAACGAGACTTTGGGCCAATTCATTCAGTCACATAGATATTCACAGCTCTTCCAGGATGCCTACCTTGTATGTTACTAATTCACGTATTCATACTCTTCTCCAGCTCTGGTATCATTTCAAGACGCTGGAAAATTTGTATATTGTCTACAGATCCCAATGTGTTCATGCATTTGGTCCAGTCCATCACAACGAGTATTGGGCTTCCCTGCCCTCTTTGTGCTTTCATTTTTCCGCGACAATCAGCTTCTTGAGGTGCCTATACATCTTCAGATTTATATTTCTTCTCCATTCTAATTCACGGTGGATCAAAAGGTCTTGTCAGTCTTACTAGTATTATCATGCTAAATAATCCAATGGAATTATGCATGCATTCAGGTTTTTAGTCGCTCACAATGGCTTACCGTCAAAGGTGGCTCGGAGTCCTACGTGAACAAGGTACCGCACACAAATTTTTTTGGTAAAAGATATAAAGGATCATGTATCACATGACCTATTTATCTATGGGCAGGTAAGGGAAGAAATGGAGAGCAATGGTTGTCAAATTAAGATCGGCTGTGAAGTCAACTCTATTTCAAAGTCCAATGGAGGTAGATTCGTTGTTCCATATATCTAAAAACTAGTCAATGAACCTGTGGTCTCGCACACGCTAGAATCCTAGCTAGGAGACACTAACTAATAAAAATTACTTATACTAAACATTTTCTCTTTGTTAATTTTCTGAAACACAGCCATGTTAGATACTCTATATTCTCTAGTGGGTCTCGTGAGTAAGGGCATTTAGAGTGTGTAAAAGAAGCGGTCTTAAGGCCTAGTTGGAATCCTGAAAGTCGATCTTAGGTTCTGTTCGTTTGAGCTTATAAATTAAAATCAGTTCTATTTTTTCAGTCATAAAATAATATTTTTCTCTCATAATAAATTAGTCCTACAAATCAGCTGTAGCAGTAATAAGTCCTGCCGAACAGAGCCTTAGACGCTACGCTACGGACCTCAGCAGAAAAAGGCTAGAGCTCGACCTTGTACATGAGGCTCAGTCGTAATGAATAAAAAATCCATTAATCTGTAGCATCCGCTTTTAAGAACAAACCAGATACGCACCATATGTGAGTCCAGGAAGTCAAATCTCACGTATAGCTATAAATAAGGGTAATATCAAAAGACAATGTTCAATATATAACGTACTTAGTATAAATGATATAACCTTAGACAACAAACAGTGGAAATACAACTCCGACCTTCGGATGAAGACTCCAATCCACAGGGACAACTAACTGGTTGATCCAATCCACAGGGACAATTGACTGGTTGATCACAGGCCTAACTTCTCCAGACTAGTAATCTGGTACTCATCCGGGATTTTTATCCAAATAATTAAAAAATAAAGCAAGCGTAAGTACATGTCGTACTCAACAAATATAACATAGGGTTCACGAGGCTCAAAAGGTTGACCCTGGTTTAACTGCGATTAACTTTTAATTGTCACAATTTTAGCATAGGAGTAGCAACAAGTTTATCACCCATGTAAACATATGATCAGGTAAACATGAATAATGAATAGCATAAACCATTAAACATTAATGAGCATCTTTATCATCAGTATCATCAGTGTTCATCATCAATTCCATAAATGTTCCAAGGCCACTCGTGACCGTGAGCACGGTTGATATACCAGCTTTACACTCTGCAGAGGTTGTACACTTTCACTGTGAGTCGTGATTTACCCTTTCGCTCGAGATAGCTAGCCTCTTGACCCACAACCTAGGAAGGTCGGCAGGGTTCACTATGAATCCTTTTAAAGGTTCGTCTAACAAGTTAGGGTTGCTAAGGTTTCCCCATCAATAAGCATTAACCCCCCCTCTAAGGAGTGACTAACAAAATACCAAGAAACCAAAGTGCACCCTTTTAGCAGGCCGAGATCATACCTGTCGGAGCCCCTCTTGCACCATAAAGGTAACCACTAACAAGCTAGAAAAGTTTCTCATACTGAGCTAAAGCTAGAGCCATGTAGCCCTCACAGCTATACTATAAGTCCCGGATGATCACTTACAGATAAGTCCTTAGGGAGAGGAATCTAGAGCACCATAAAAATAGCACAATGCTTTAGCCCCATTGTTCTATGTTGCTAAAAACATCTTTTAGTGTTTATTGCATAATCCATTAGTCAAGTTACAAGATCATGGTTGTAGTTGAGCACTAGCATCATACTACCCAATGCAATACTCCATAGGTATCAAGGTACATGGTAACAAAGTATTAGGAAATCCTTAGTGATAGTCAAGGTAGACACATGCAGTATGAATTAAATAATTAAAGGCGTATAGGACAACAAGAAAGATCCCATACTATACTTGCCTTAAAACTCTGATCCTTCTTCTAGTCCAAACCTTAAATGAATTGCTTTTGAATTCACCACATATAGCTCACCGACTGGACGATATCATAAAGCACCACACAAGCATCCATGCAATCATATACGAAGCAAACAATAGAACTAAATTAGAACAGTACACCAAACATATGAAACAGCAAGTAAAAAGGTTTTAAAGATGTTCTACACATTGCTACGAACACATAGATGCGAAAAGCACTCTAATCGGAGCTACGGTGAAAAAGATACATCTACCGATAGATTTGCTTTTATTCGAGAATAAGGAAACTACAAACTCCATTTATTTTAATTATAATATATATATAAAAGATACTCTAGAGAATTATCTAAATTGTATTAAGTCAAATTTAGATTTAAATTTGAAAATCAGAGTAGAATAAAACATATTTTCTTTATAAGTCTAGTTGCATAGTTACTAATCAAGTTAGGATTTAAACCATAAAATTCTAGAACTCTTAATATGAAAACATTAATACTAATGCGTAGTTTACGTCATTGTGAATCTAACACAACTTGAATGGGTCAAATCCGAGTTAAAACGGAGAAGTTATGGCCTACAGAAGATATTGGCAGAACTGTAAATAGATGAAACGTATTCTGAATCGAAACCAAAAGAAAATACACTTTTAAATAAAGAAGACGTATTTGGTAAACACGCTTTGGATTGCAGGTTAGATTAGGGAACAGGAGGGGTCTCCTTTGCAAATTTGCCAGCCAAATCGGTATGGAGGCATCTGGGCCATCGGATCTAACTTGGACGTGCCAGATTAGATCTAGAGAGGGGAAAGAGAGGTGGCCGGCCGGTGGCGATCCAGGCGGCGGCGCCTTTGACGGGACCTCGCCGGAGTTGGGCGAATCGGTGACTCTGGCCACCGTTTGGCTCGGGAGAAGGTCACGGAGCAAGAGGAGAACGAGGCGAATCCATCTAGGGGATCGGAAGGGGCTATGACAGCGCGGGGACTAGCTCGGCTCGGTTGAGGCGGCTCGGGTTCGCCGGCGGTACTTCAGCGATGCGGCACAAGCAACAGAAAGTGTAGGAGAAGGAAAAGCGGGTATCAGGGCTTGCTTACCTCGCGTAGAAGCTCGGCGAGCAGTCCCGGACGATGGCGGAGTGGCAGAACGGTGATGCGACTTCGGCGGCTCGAACTGCTAGGGTTCCGCGACGGCTGCAGCTCTAGCGAGGGCGGGGCTAGTGTTGGATGAGATAGGAGAGCGGCGTGGGCACAGGGCTGCTTATTTAAGGGGTGGGGCGGCTTGCAGCGCACGCAAGTCGGGCGGAGCGGGGCGGAGGTGGACTCCCCGTCGACGGAGCAGAGTCTGTCTCGAAGCCGACTCCAGGTAGGAGACGACCGACGCGTGGGCTTGGGATGGCAGCGGCTCAGTCGGCGGGCCCGCGGTGGAGTGCGAGGCTAAGCTGGCCTGTGGTGGCGCGCTGGCTGCGGGCTAGCTTGCTGGGCCGGCCCAAGAGCGGGAGCTCGCGAGAGCTGGGCCTGCGGGAAAGGCAAGGCCGAGCAGGCCGAAAGAGAGGGAAAGTAAGGGAGGTGAAGAATTTTTTTTTATTTTATTTTTCTAAATTTCCAAAGAAATTTTCAAATCCAAATTCAAATCAATTTAAAGTTTGATTTCAAACCACACAATACAAAAATAATATGCAGCAGCATGAATGCATAAACATGTAGGTAAACTCTATAATTGATTTTAAGTTAACAAAAGTTATTACTTTTCTAAATTTAAATGCTCAGATAATTAAATCATATTCCCCTATTTAAAAACAATGGAAAATTTTATGGTGTTACATGATCAGTAGCCTGAAGCTTGCTTGCTGCGGGAAAGCCTCCTGCTGCAACATATTGGCAGCTTTTCCCTTTTTAATTAATGACACGGGCACCACCCTATGACGCATGGGACTTTGACCCTATTCGGTAGAGTGGAAAAAAGCTTCTTTGAGAAGTTTTACTAATAAAATAATAGTACGATCAAAATAAGCTGGTCGGACCTAGATTCTAGGAGTTGGTATGTACCAATAGGTGTTGTGAGGAGAAGCATGGCCAGAAAAAACTAGAAGAAACATGTCGTTTGGCTTTTAATCTTAGCTTATTTTTTCATAAGCAGCTTATTATAAGCTGTCATGGTCTTTGTACATCACAGAAAAACTTGGTATAACTCTAAGTCGACCTTATGAATTTGAATATTACTCTTGCCCTAATAACATTACTCAGGCTCTTACATCCATTGGGGACATCTAGTTAAATTTTTTTAGAATTTATCTTTTTTCTTTCTAGTGAGATATGTATTTAGTTTAAATCTAAACATAAGTTATATAAGCTCTTATTGCATCCCTTTATATGATATCATGAATCTATATTTTAGCTTTTCGCATTTGCAATATTTGTATCCAGATTTTAAGTTGAAACTCTAATGCTTATTGCAGTTTTTATTCAAATTTTTTTATTTTTTTCATTATTTTATTAAAAGAAGATTCTAGGCCTTCATAACTCTTTCAATGGCATAAATAGACGTTTTATGAAGCACCATGGCACTTAAGGTATTGAACTTTGTTTATGGAAGAATTATATGTACGGTAGTATTGTTTCATAAAACATATATTGCTTAAAATTAAATTACTAATATTCATATTATGATATAATGTTTCAATTAACATACCTTAATGTGAATTGTCATTGCAACCTCGGTTGTTAAGGAATAAATTTTCCGAGCTTGACATTTATCCTAACGTATACATGTCTACATGACAGTAGTAGAAGTGTCTAATTCAGAAATGTATATGTCGCACCTTATGGATATTGAATTCTTTTTATAACAACTTATAATAGCATTTAAATGTAGATTAGACAGATATATTTTGTTATAACGGCTAAGGAGAAAAATTTGCATACAAAATAAAAGGTATTACATTACATTATCTTTCACAATGACATGTATGGGAAATTCAAATGCAAACTTAGAAGACAATGTGCATTATCTTACATTACATTATCTTTCACAATGACATGTATGGGAAATTCAAATGCAAACTTAGAAGACAATGTGCATTATCTTTCATAATGATATATGTGGATAATTTATAAAAAATTATTATACAATTATTTCAAATTATATTGTCTTGTTTGCAGAGTTGGGTATTTTAGATGTAAGTTAGGGGTTTGTTTTGAACTTCTTTTATTAATGGTAAAGATGCAT